AGAGCTCTGAACTTCTAATTTTCTCAAAATGAAACCCCCAAGATGTCAGTACAGAAGTGAACACAAAATGCAAAGGCTTATGAAACACTGACTTGAAAGCCCCATGAGTATGAGTAACAGGCCATTCATTCTCAGCCCAACTTGGAGGTTGGGTATTTTGACCCTGAGAGCTACTCTCAGGGTCACCCACAGAGGAAGGTGACTCTGAAGTAGGGCTCATTTATTTATTTCACCAGAAGGAGCCAACAACAAGAGACCCCAAGAAAAGCTCACATCTCTAGTTTAGTATAAGGGATCCTTGCCCATGGGACCCCGTGTCCAGCTGGGCTCCCAGCTCTCCCAACACAAGCGGCTGTGGTTTTCAAACAGTCAAGTACTCTGCTCTGGGGGGACATGCTGTGAGGCAGGGATGTGAAACTTTTAAAGAACCGGCCATCTTCGGGATTTGTTTACTCCAGGCCACGGAACTTCTTAAATTTAAAATGTTTGCAGAATAATCAACTTTTACACCACCAGTATAAACCACTATAAGCAGGAGAACCAGAACTAGATATGTTTCCATTCTCACCGCTGTCATTTCCACAGTAACCCGTGTGTATTTTTCTTGGATACTTTCTCCAGTGTGGAGCTCACTACCACAAAGCAGTCTCCCCCAGTTTCTCTAAGGTCTTCCTTATAACAAGCCAAAATTTATTTCCTTGCAACTTCCCTTCATCGATTCCTTTTCCATTCTGGGGAATGATCTTCACTCATTCCAAAGGATGCTGCTCTCAAACACCTGAAAATAGACATTACCTCTCCCTTGTCTGCTTAGAGAAAATATCTCTACTGCTCTAATCAATTCAAGTTGTGTGCTCGCTATCTGTGCGACCATTCCCTGGGTACAGAGTGGTTGACTGACGGGCACCCTCACAGCCAAGCCCGAGATTGGGGTGTGTGTCAGTAGATCTGCCCAGCTCCACATGGAAATGGGCCTCCCCACACACCCAGAGGCACAGAGTGTGGACTCATGGGACTCAGTGGCTGACTGTTGACAGCCAAGGATCGAAGGTGATGCTCAAGGGTCAGCTTGGGAGCACTGCGGTCTACACGTGTCCCTGGGAAGACAGAGCATGAGAGAAGCGAAGCTTGGGGAGCAGAAAGGCAAGAATCCAGCAGCAGCAGCAGATTTTTTCAACTGTCAAGAAACAGCGCAGTTCCCTGCCCTGCACTCTGGTCCAGAGTGCAGAAGATGAACTGCATCCAAATCGTCTTGCAAAGTCAGCACATCAAAACCCAATAACCACAACACAGATAAGAAAGACAGAGGGCAGACTACCGAGTTCCTATAGTTCGGCCCGAAGGCCCACGTGTTAAAGGTTTGATTCTCTGCTTGGTGCTTTGGGAGGCATGGAATGTTTGAGAGGCCTCTAGCGAGAGGTCTTTAGCTCACTTGGGGAAAGTTCTCAAAGGGCATAGAAGAACCCCAAACCCTTACTTTCTCTTTCAATTCCTAGCCAGGAGATGAGTGATTTTGCTCCACATACGTTTATGCCATGGTGTGCTCTCTTGCCACAAACCAACAGTAATGGGCCAACTGATAATGAACTGAAATTTCTAAAACTGTGAACCAGGCTAAACCTTTCTGCTTTACCAGAAAAGTTATCTCCGTATTTATTACAGTGATGGAAAACTGACTAACACATGAGGAGACATGACAATATCATAGAAATGATCAGAGCAAACCCAGCCAGCCCTGGATGTGCAGAAAAGAATCTGAAATTCAAGGAGGGCTCAGTATGAGTAGTAAATGCCATGGTGCGTCTCATAAAATCTATTGCAAAGGGAAAAGTTTCCTAGTTGGTTTTTAAAATTCATTGATAAGGGCTGGGTGTGGTGGCACTCACCTATAATCCCAGCCCTTCGGAGGCTGAGGCAGGAGATCACTGAGTGTTCAAGGCCAGCCTGGACTACAGAGTGTGTTCAAGGCCAGCCTGAACTGCATAGTGAGACCTTGTCTCCAAAAGACCAAAAAAAATCCATTCATACTTTTAAAAATTCTTAGAAATGAGGAATTGAAGAAAACTTCCTTCAGACAGAGCACTTTACTTCTAACGAATCATGACCACATCAAAGAAACCAAGCCCCAAGCTCATGCTGGCCCCTGGGAACATGGGAAGTAGTTCACATGTGTGACAGAGAAAGGGCCACTTCTCTGTGACCTAGATTGTTTCCATTCACGCAAATGGCCACAGACACATTTTCTCAGTTCCAGCATAAGCCTAATTCCACAGCTGGGTATAGATAAAGGGCTTCATGCAGGGACTCTACTAGCAAAAATAAAGCTCATTAATTATCTGAGAAATGGGTTGAATTCAAAACTGGATGAGAAATCCAGAAAATGTGCATATGATGCTAGCCTGGTGCTTACTCGGGGGGTTCAGTGCCCTGCTCACACCAGTGAGTCACTGGGGGTGTCTTGACAGTTTTCATCACCCATCACCACCCCAAGTTTGCTTCTGACAACAGCTTCCTCTCCTGGTGAACCATGCTGAGGCTCATCCAAAGCAATCAGCACAAAGAAAATCTCGGTTTCTAGCACACAGCTTATTAATTCCAGCTCCTTGGTAGACTGCAAAGATTTTAACTTTGCAATGTTGTGCAAAATTTTAAGAGAGAGAGAGAGAGAGAGAGAGAGAGAGAGAAGACATGAGTATACATGTGTATGTGCATGTGTTTGCAGGTATGCACACACTGAGCAATCTATCACTTCCATCAGTGTTTCAAAGGGGTCTGGTAGCTGGAGAAAGCTGGAGGTTCTTCTGGCAGATCTGTAAATGCAAAAACCCCCGAGGAGGTTGGCTACCTCAGCCAGCCTGGGTGGAAGTGGTTGGGGGAAGATTTGTCTGACAAGAACCCACAACACCAAACCATGCAGAAACAAACATTCAGACCAGGTCGTCTGCACAGACGACGGCATTCTGGGAGCACAGCTTTGGATGGAGAAGAAGAAGGATGTGAGACTCAGGCAGGTGATTCCTTGGATGACACATAAAGTCAACAGTTGGGTTTCTGGACCCTACCAGAAGAGTGGCTTCCAAGAGGGACCGGATGGCGGTGCCGTCAGTGGGGAGCAGGGTCATCAGAGGATGGGCTCCCTTAGCTGTTCAGTAAAAATCACACGCAACCTTCTTTTCTTTTCTGTGATTCTGAGAGTCAAACCCAGGGCCTCCTACATCTGCAAGGCGCGTGTTCCTCCCACTCCCCGGGCATCTCCTTCCCTTCTCTCTTCCCCAGTCCCCAGTGCAACATCTGCAAGGTCTCCCTTCAGCCTCTTCCTGGAGACACAAAGGCAGAGGACTCAGTGGCACCTGCTCCCTGGTGATGATTAGCAAAACGGAAAAGGGAACCCGCCATGATGGATTTATCGCCTTAATGTCTATAAGAGGAGGTGGAGGAGGAACACTGGGATAAGGCACTGGTCCCTCCCAGACATAGAATTCAGTGACTGCCAGCAGCTGTGTGGTTGAATCCTCGTAGGACAGCAACCCCATGTACTGCCCACCCGTCCCCCCAAGAGTCGCTGAAAGGGTATATCCCATCCAAATGCACCCAAAGAACACCCAGCAAGTCTCTTTGAGAAGTGCTAGATGATATTATTATCCTCACCATTATTTTATTTTGTATCACAAGTATCAACTCAAATATGACTTCTTCAGGGAAGTTCTCCTTAATCCCCTGCATTAGGCTTGCTTTATATAATCTCATGACAGCCTGCTAGTCTCATGATTGTACTTCTGCGATGTGTATGACTTGGCCACTAGATAGCCATTCCCATGACAACAGGACTGATGTCTGCCTTGTTCGGTGTCCTCCGAGACTAGCCCATGCCCGCACCCAGAGGACGCCATGCCAACGTGCTGAGCACAGAAGCCAAACATGAGGGGCCAGGCAGGAGCTGCGCAGGCCTTGAGTGCTGCACGCCCATTGTACAGACAGGGAAACCCACGCCAGAGGGGCACTGGGACATGACTAGGAGTAGAGATGCCAGGGCAAAGCAGGGCTCCGTGATGTCACTTAAAGCAGAAGCTGGAAGCCACACCGAGCTCTCATACCCCAGCCCTGCCCCCTCGAGGAAACCCACAAGCTCATTTGCCTAGGTCAACAGCAGCAGCAAGAAGGCTGGGAGGACTTGAGAAGGAACATCACACCACTCCCTGGTGACCCCACCCGCAACCCTTCTGTATCAGGTGGCATTCACTGGGGGGGTGGGGGGGCTCCCGGGGAGATTCACGCTGGCAAGGAGCTCCAGCTCCAGCCAGTCACTGTGTCGGGGCCCAGCCTGGGGCAGTCAGTGCTACAGGAGGAGACCCAGAGGCTACAGAAGGACAGAGAGAGGGATGCTTAGTGCTAGAAGGCCAGTGGAGAAGGACTTCAGCAGTTTGAGCTAACATCAAAGGAGGTGTCTGCAGCATCCCAGGCAGGTAGGGGGAAGGAAGGGAAATCTAGGGAGAAGGAACCGCGCATGCACATGCAGAGAGGTGGACCTGGCTGGGGGCCAGGAGGCCTTTGTGGCCGGGATAACGGGTACTGTTCTTCATCAGTTGGTAAGGGCAACTCTGCGGGGTTTGCAGCAGAAAAGCAACTAACTCCAATTTGCTCTTTTGTTACCATAGCACCACGGCAGGCTGGAGACCCACTGAAGCCAAACTCTAATGCCCGGCGCCTGGCATTAGTAGACTCATGAAGGGCCTTTTATCTGCTCTGGGCCATGAAAATCATCTACTTTCCCCCATTATCGGCCCTTGTCTCTCCTCTGGCACTCTGCCACTACTTTGTCTTGATTATCGGGAAGTCACTCAGTAAGTAAACTCAGTTATTCAGAACCTAGCAGCCAGTCTAGGAGCAAACAAAGAGATAAGAGAAAACACCCATGCGATACCACAATGTATGCCCCAGAAGGGCAGGGCATGCACTTGGCACCCACAGACACACATCAGATGCCACTCACGCTTGCTTACCTCTGGTCAAGAGCAGAAGCCAGAGTGAGCCCAGCTCTGGCACCTTCTGGTTGAGTGGCTTTGACCCTCAGTTTCCTGGTCTCTGAGACACAGCAGTGGGTACAGGCATCTCAGAGTGCAGCTGTAAAGATTAAAGGACACGAAGAACTTAGCCAGATCCAAAGCCAAGGGAAGAGATAAACAGAACAAGAAGGGTCAAAGAGAAACAGCAGAAAATGTGTCCTGAGGAGACCAGTGTACATAAGAGAAAGACAGATTAGAACCAACACATTTCAAAATATTATTAAATCAGAGCCAGGAACAGTGACACACACACCTATAATCCTAGCACTCTGGGAGGCTGAGGTAGGAAGATCATGAGTTTAAGCACAGCCTAGGCAACTTAGCTAGTTTCTATCTGAAAATAAAAAATTTAAAAAGGTCCGAGGATATAGCTTAGCATGAGTGCCCTGAGGTCAATCTCCAGTACTGCCAAAACACACAAACAAATAAGAAGAAAACCTGCTAAATCGTATCCAACCTGCTCTATACCTCTTACAAAGATTTCCTTTAAAATGAGACACATCGAAATCTTTGGTGCTTAGAAGGAACAGCTAACTGGAAAAATATGAGCAAAATATGAGAACAACATAAGTCTGTGTGTGGCTGTTTAACATACTCTAAGATGCCACTGATCAGAAGATGTACCCAGATTTCAGCACTGCTAACATGGAAAAACATGCAATCCTCAAACTGATGAAACATATTAATAGGCAATCTATGTTTCCTGTCCAAGTAGGTCATCTTCCCTTTAGGCAGCAGCCAGGTGGAGTCTTTCCTCTGTCCTTCCCGGCTGTGCCCAAAGCTCAAAAACCAAACCGAACACCTGGCCTTTGACCGGCTGGTGGTCACTCTAGCATATCCCTCTAGAAGCTTCCTCTCGTAATAAACCGATTCAAGCTTTCAGCCCAACAGTTCAAGCCAAAAAGGTCTTCTGGGTCCCATAAGCCTGGTCAGTTCAGCCCTTCTTTAAACAAAAGCCACATCCGCCAGCCTGAATGCTCAGCTGAACCCAGGCTGCAGCTTCCAGATCCTAAGCTGCCCGGAAAAGGCTGCTGGTTCTCCTCTTCCCTACTTCTTGGCCCCTGGGGTTAACCTGGCAGAATGGAGCGGCCTCTGCCAGCCAGTCAGCCACAGCCTCCACCCCTGCCTCTTCCCTCACACCACAGACAATTCCAAAGACACCGGCTGTCCAACAAATCATCCATCAGCTAAGCTGCAGAGCTGGGACCCCGCAGAGGCCTGGTACACAGAGACCCCCCTCTTCCCTCCACAGTCCTGGCTAGTTATGCTTGGAAAGGCTAAGGAGGTTATCCTGAGACAGAAAGAGCCTGCCCACCTCAGGTGGCCTCTCCTACATGAAGACATACACCACTGAGCCCACCCAGAAGAAGCCAGGAAACACGTGCTGCCCACTCTTGTTCTACAAAACACCCTGGGACGTCTCCCGTGGGCAGCTGTGCTCCTCACCCCTGTCTCCTTTAATTTTCCACACAGCTCTGTAGATCAGTGTTAGGGCCCATGATACAGATAAAGAGTCTGAAGCTAGCGGCGGGGTACGATGCTGAAGACCACACATCTGGGTCGGGTTGGAATTCAGGTTTCTTCTACATCACAGGTGGTCCTCAAACTCCATTAACACCACTTTAGGGTCTTATTCATTTTTTTGAGAAATACAGATTTTCTAGACCCCACCCTGGAAAGCTGTGCTGTGGGGCTGAGTCTGAGGAATCTTGTGGTTTAACAAATACCCCACGAGATCACCTCAGCTCTGGGAAGCAGGGCCTTAACAGGTGGTCCCGTGTGCAGGAAGAGGGGAAGCAGTAATGGGGAGACGGAGGAGCCCACGGAGGGAGAACGTCCTTAGAACCCGACCTGGCTTGCTTTCAGCCCTAGTTTAACTTAAACCCAGTCCTCGCTGCCAGACGCTTAACTCACTTCACACCACATCCTGCTGCTTTCATCTCGCCCTCTTTTCCCCCCTGAACAACCTCCTTCCTCCTGGGGTCCTGAACCGCTAGGAGATTTACCCCAACCTGGAATGGGCTAGGGTGCACGCGCACGCGCGCAGTCACGCGGAGACACTCGGGGTGTAAACATGGATCCTCTGACAGCGCAGAGCGTGCACTTCTTAAAACTTCGCTGTCTGCAGATCCGTGCTCACGAGCAAGGGGCCGCCTGAGACTGGATGGAGGGCTCCTGGGCGGCGATGTCACAACGCCCAGGTCCTGCTGGCCAAGGAGCTTCGATGCCAGTGGTCACGCGGAGTTCTCAGGCTGAAGACCCACAGCGGCCTGCACAGAGGCCGGAGAGGCGCCCAGCGGTGCCTACCTAGGTTACGGTGATCGGTGCCCGCGTGCCCCTCCGTCCCCGGGATTGTGGGCAGCCTGGGCTTCCGCCCCGGTGCAACGCGCTGGGAGACAGCAGGTCCCTGCAGCCCGCCTGCTGCACCTCTCCCCGACGGTGCCCCGCCTGCTCTGGCTCTGCCTTGTGCCCCCACGCGTGCCTCCTACGGCGCCCGGTCCCCCGCCCAGCCACACACCTGCAGTCCCGGCGTCCTCCCAGCGGCGACTCACTGCAATTCGGGTATCGACGGGGACCACCGCGCCGCTGCCGGAGTGTGTAGCAAGTCCCAGCATCTACGAGGTCCCTGCAACTCCGGAGGCCTGGGGGCGTGGCCAGGGCGTGGCCAGGGCGTGCCGGGGGCGGGGCCAGGAGCCTCGACGGCCTCTTGCGCCACCTGCTGGCCGGGCCGTGTTAGCCAGGTGCCATCCTGGCCCCGGTGCCCTCAGTCTCTGGGTGCGGAACCTGCGGGGCATCAGAGGAGCAACCCGCAGCTCGGAGCCAGCCTGCCCTCGGGAGGTGGGGCACTGCCGGAGCTTGTTGGCAGCCGAGGGACGTCGGCGCAGAGCCGCACTCCTACCCTCCAGGAGTGGGGAGAGGTTCTCAGGGGTGCGGAAGCGTAGTCTGGGCGGCGCAGGGGGAGTGGGCGGAGAAGGGGGAGGCTGAGCAGTGGGGGGGCTTCGGGGAAGGAGGAGAAAGAGGAAGCCGCGACGAGCTGCTTCCTTCTCTCACTGCTCCCCGGCGCCCCACTTCCTCCTCCTACTTCTTTTTTCTTTGGGTGCACTTAACCCTTACGATGCCTGCACCCCCCCCTGGATGAACGGGCACCTTGACCTCTGTTTTTCTGCAACCCCCCTAGGAATTTCTAGCCAATTCAGAGTTAAAGCACTGCTCCTCCAGCCTCTGATTGGTGTCCCTCCTTAGACCCACAGCGCCAGGGCCAGCCGTCACTTCAGCTGGGTTCCACTTTCTTGAGGGACAGGGATTGGGGAGTGATTGCCTCCCAGGTCAGGAGCCCTTTTTTGTAGTCCTCTTACGGGTCCACAGACAACATTGTTACCCCAAGGGTTGCAGTGACCCGTCAGGGAATCCCAGTAACTCTGTTTCCTCATTTACAGACTGAGGCCATCCTTGCAATGAAAAAGTGGCCTTGGTTGAGAAAGTGGGAGGCTGAAATCTCCACTTCCACTGCTGAATGGGACTGTCACAATATCTGTTACAGGCATCCCAAACCCGCCAGAGGGTCATACGTTGTTGGTGAAAAACCGCAGCCCTACCTGAGGCTTTGAGAGATGCCAATAGCAGTGACTTTCCTTTTCCTGAGTCCCCAAATACCAAGAAAAACAACTTCCTCAAATGGACAGAAACAGAAAGTACCCTTGGGCAAGCACAGAGGACTGGTTCCTGCCTGCAGTTAAAAGATGGGAAGAGGCTCAGAGCCCGTCACCTCCCACTCCTGCATCCACCAGCCCCACCCCAGGTACCCCTGTGCTGCAGGCAAGCGACCCTCGGTCCTCGGGTGGCTGTGGAAGGGCACTCCGAACACCCCACAACTTGTTGAGTGGACAAGGTTACTGGTTTCTCTCGTCCCAAGCCCTACGTTACCCCCTGCAAAAAATGGTGGCCTTGGGAGGAAGAGAAGGTGGGAGCAGCCTGGAGGTGGCCAGGGTAGGAAGGAAAGGGCACAATTGGCAGCTGAATAGTGGGAATGACACGGCGTCTTGGCAGCTTGAGATGTTAGACTGGGAGAGGATTTTGAAGGGTAAAGAAGGCTGGAGAAATTATGGGAATCTTGACTTCTTCCTTGTGCTCATTGTTCTAAAAAGTGAAGGTGAAGAGAGCTGGAACAGAGTTAGCTGCTCACTCTGGGGAGCACAGCGTCTGGTAAAGCCAACTCTGCCCCATTCTTTGTCCTTCAGAGATGGACCCTTTTCCACCAGCAGCTGGCACCCAGATGCTGACCTTGCGTGTTCTCTTCCAGCCCTGAGCTCTGCCTGTGTCTCCCTGTCCCCACACCGCTAATCACCAACCAAATCTCAACAGCACCCAGCACGCAGCACCCATCAGAGGGCCAGAACTTAGAATGACTGCCACACAGAACCTTCCCGAAGGACTCACAGGCGCCTAGTTGGATACCACTTTATGCAGTTTTTGTTTTGTTTTTGTTTTGAGGTTGATCTACACATTGAGCTATAGCCTAGCCCTTTTTCCGTGTCTGATTTTGAGACAGGATCTGGCTAAGTCAGTAAGCAAGCTGTCCTTGAACTTGCGACCTTTCGGCCTCAGTCTCCCAGAATGCTGTACACCGTGCCTTGGTCTTCTGTTGCTTCATTTAAAATGTGTCTGTTTGCGATGGCTGTCCTTCCTTTCATAGCCAGTGGTTGGAGAGAGGAGTCTGCTTCATATTTCCTCATCTTACATTTATCCCTCAGTGCTTTGAAAGAAGGTCACCAAGAAAACCCCAAATGCCAAAGCCGTGTTCTTGTTTTCTGGCCTCACTAAGGTACTTGCTGTTATCTTTCCTTCGAAATCCCCCCTTTGGCTTCTGAATTTCCTCCACCTCTAACCACTGTTTCTGTTCGCTTTTTCTAGTCCTACTCCCTTCATCATCTCTTAAGGACTGCAAAACTGTGGGTTTTATGTGAGCCTGTTTCTCTTTTTCCCAGGCAATTTCATCCATTCCCTTCACACTGATCCCGCTCAAACCTACAGCCCGGATTTCCCTCTCCATCCAATCACAAGGCCAAACCATCGAGGGACTTGATCCCTTCTCAGTAGCCCCGCCTCTTAAAGGTGCCACCACCTCTTAACAAGCTTATGGCAAATGAACCCTCCCGGGTCAGAGCACACCCAAACTCTAACAGATGTTCGCATATTCTGCACTTTGTAAGTTATAGCTCGGTACATAGAATCTGGGAAAATGAAGTCCGCGGGCTTGTTGGGCTTTTCCTACCTCCTGCCCTTCCTCAGTTCAGTGGCTCTGCTTAGATGAACTGCACTGATTCCTCGCTGGATATTTGTGAAGCTCAGCAGAATCACCCCAACTGCTCTTGTTGGGTAAATACAGACTCCTGGTAAAGATGAGCCAACAGAAAAACTAAAGATACCAAACCAGAATGGTTTGGACTTTCAAGAAAAAGATACACAATCAAAGAAAATTGTATATCCTTTAAGTTTTCACAAAAGGGAAGAAATTAGAGCTTATTTCATCTGCATTTTTCAGTATTTCCCATATAGGTATAGTGTATTGAACTGTTAGGAAATTGCAAGCTGGGAACTTAGTGGTTTAAGTGTCTGCCTGGCAAGTGCAAGGTCGTGAATTCCATCCCCTACAAAAAAGCAATTACAAGCTGATATTAGGAAATATTTTCTGCTTCCTAAATTTAAAGCACAGAGAAGATGGTGAACAGAGAAAGCTGAATGTATGAATTGGAACACAAATGTGATCCTTTGTCCTACAATTCAGAGAAACGATGAAAACTGTTAGACACAAGAGGAACCGTGAACACTGCAGTACGGAGATCTAATACACATATGGCAGGAATTCCACAAGGACGGAATAAAATACGCGGTAGAAGAAATTTTTCTGAAGAACAATTTTTCATCTTCTACTCAAAGTCTTAACTTCCCTAGAAGTTACAAATACAAATACAAATGACCAAACATTGATCTACGAAAAGGTACACCTGAAGTTTGATCAAAGACCTTCCTTCTTGGAAGGACCCATGTCCTGACATCTATCAAAACTTAAGGACTGAAATAGACTGCTTCTAAAAGAGACTCCAATAAAGAGTAGAACACGCTACCTTTCTCATAAGACAGAGTGGGAGAGGAGAAAGTATACATCCATTTGCTCATTGGCCCAAAACGCAATGCAGGAAGCACAGCCCAGAAATCAGTGACATCAGCTACCTGTGCTGGACAGGGGGGCTACCATGGACTGAAAGAGGGCCTGAGGTAGATTGGAGGGGAGACGTGACGGGTTTCCGAAGACTTTTGTTTGGTTTTGTTTTTCTGACTTTTAGAATCAAGATAATGTTTCACATCGCCCCACCTCCCCCTAAAAATAAACAACCAGTTAAAATAGTGGGAACGTAAAATGAAATGCAACCAAACATTGGAATTGAATGATATAACCTCACTGAGAAGAGTGGAGACAAAAGAACTCTCTCGAATAACTTAGGGAAACGTCTCTTGATTGCAGACTGCAGAGTGAACCGCGAAGACCATGGCACACCGTGATGGCGTACTGTTTGAGGGGTCTGCTGCCTACGTAATAAATCTGTTTCTCGTGGGTGTATGCGTTAGCTATTCTTTTCAATGTTTACCAAGACTGGACAAATCAGTAAAATATATTGCAAATAATGGGATCCAGGTTTCTTGATGCTGATGAAAGAAGTTACATATTGCTGAGCCTAACGGTGTGTATCTGTCATCCAAGCACTCGGGAGGCTGAGGAAGGAAGATCATTGCAGGTTCAAGGCCAACCTGGGCTACATAGTGAGTTCGAGGCCAGTATGGGCCACGTAGTGAGACCCTGTCTTAAGAAAAAACACAAAGAGAAAAAGAAAGAAGATATAAGTAAGGGAAGGTGGGAAGCTAGACTTTATCATGGTGTTACACTGGAATCAGGGATATCAGCATGTACTTATAGTTTTTAAGAGCTAGACATGGCCAGGCACATGCCTCTAATCCCAGCACTCTGGCAGGCTGAGGCAGGAGGGTCAGAAGTGCAATTAGAAGCCCAGACCGAGCGAGAGCCTGACTCAAAATAAAAATAAAAAGGGCTAGGGATGTAGCCCAGTGTGAAGGCCCTGGGTTCAATCACAAGTACCACACACGTACACAGAAAAAGATAGACGCATAGGTATTAAAATACCTACAAACAGTGTGTACATACGTCATAGCCCTGGCTGCTGAGAGAGACTAGAAGTTATGATGTCCCACCAACCACGAGCACACCTTGCTCCGGGATCTTAGTCCCTAAGTGTCGTCTCTAATAAAAGGAGAAATGAGCAATTAAAGATGAGGGACAAGGCAAGAAAGAATGAGCACCTGGTGGTGGCAGAAATCAATGGGGGCTCAAACCAGGAGGCATGTCAGAAGGACACAGGACCCGACGTGAAGGGGCTGTCAGCGGTGAAACACAGGACAGACTGAGTGCTGCACTGGATGATGGTGGCCACCGATTAGAGTAGATGCATAGAATCTGGCTCACAGAGTAAAGTAAATATCCGTGAGACTACACTGGTGTGAATGAACAAACCAATAACTAAGTAAAAAATGATTGAGTAAGTAGCAGAGCTAATCCTCTCCACACAGTTCCACCAATGGTATAGGCGATCACCATTTGGTAGACATCGCAGTAATAATTTTTGCAGATAAGAATTGTCGGTAAATCAGGCATGATGGCGCATGCCTGTAATTCCCACACTCAGGAGGCTGAGATAGGAGGATTGCTGTGAGTTTGATGCCAGTATGGGCTACGTAGTGAGTTCAGGCCTGTCTTGGGAGATATAGTGAGACCATGTCTCAAAAAAAAAAAAAAAATCAAAAAATAAAAGTAAAAGAATTATCTGGTTGTAGTGATGCATA